GGGGGGGGGGGAGAGAGGTGCTGTCTGGTGGGCGGCGCACGCCAGGCTGGCCGCGCACGCCGAGCGCGCCCTTTTCTGGCGGCCCGGCGCGAAAAAATAACATTGCGTGGTCACGCCACACATGCGTTGGCATCCGCGACCACTCCCACCGATCTCAGCCTCTTAAGCCGATCGCGCGGGGGCCGGTGGCGGGACGATGGCCACCGGCACACGCGCATCCCGCCCCCCGCCCTCCCTGTCTGTTGCTGCTGCTGCTGCTGTTGCTGCTACTGCTCTCCCCTTTCCTCCCCCCCCCTTTCCTCTCCGCCACCGCCACCACCGCCACTTCCCCGCCGCCCGCTGGCCACTTCCCCGCCGCCCGCTGGCCACTTCCCCGCCGCCCGCCGCCCGCCGCCCGCCGCCCGCCGCCATGCGTTACCGCCGCCAGATGTCCCGGGCCCTTGTCCCGCAGTCGATGCCGGAGGCCCGGCGCCTTGGCCCGCAGCCGGTGTCCCTGCCGCCGGTGGAGGCACTCCTGGCCTGGGTGGCGCCGAAGAGTTCAGGCACCGTGCCTGCCGCGGCGGCCGCGGCCGCCTCCCTCGCGCCCGAGATGGCGGACTCCCCGCCGTCACCGTCACAGCCGCCGCCGCCGCCGAGCGCCAAGTCCACTGTCTCCCGGCGCCCGGCCAGCCTGCAGTCCTCCACGCCGCTGGAGTATGATGTGTTTGTGCGCGGCCCGGGCGGGGCGGGGTCCCGGCGCGGGGGCGTGTCCCCGGGGCCCGGGGCCCGGCGCGCCTCGGACTTCCGGGCGCTGCTGTCGCGTGCCCAGCGCAACCTGGACCGCCACCGGCGGGTGCGCATCCATGCCCTTGGCCCGGCCATTGAGCGGGCCCTGGCCGTGGCTCTGGCCCTGCGCCGGCAGCACGCGCAATCGGCGCTGGCCTGCTCGCCGGCCCATCCGGCCGGTGTGCCTGTCGGGGCCCCGGTTCCCGGGTCGGGCAAGGGGCACTTCGATCGGGCTCCCCTGGCCCCGGGGCTGCTGGACTGCCGGGTGAACCTGCGCACCGAGTGCCTGGTGGACGATGTGACGCCCCAGGATGATGTGCGTGCCTCCCTCCTGTGGCCCTGCCCCCTCGCCGCTCCCCCGCTCCCCCCTGCCTGCGCTTTGCGCTTGTCCCAGCACCTGTCTCACATGTGGGAGCCTTCCTTTCCGGCCGCCCCCCCCTCCCGCCCCCCTTCCCAACGCATGATGATGGGCCAGGATGAGGCTGCATCCACGGCATCCCGCCTGGTGTCGGCCGTCACGGTGGAGGTGTTCTTCCGGTGAGAGGGCGCGACGCCCTGGTGTTTTTTTTTTTATTTCCCCCCCCCCCCCCCTCGCCGCTGTCCCACATACTCGCCTCGGGTCGCGAAAACAATAGATGCCCCTCGGGGGGCGGATCCCGTGCCGGCCCACGATCCGAGATCACGCTCTCGAAAGGGTTGGCATGTGCCACGGAGAGCCAGGCCATCCCCGGGGCCTCTGCCCTGCACCGCGGCGGCGGCGGCGGGGGGGGGGGGAGGGGGCGGCTCGCGGGGCGGTCTGTGTTCGCGCGCCGTTCGGGATTGACGAATGGGCCG